TGAACAAAAGTAAAGTGAGTGAAGGGACATGTCGGGCAGTGTAAGATATGACAAAACAATAAATTATAAATTATCAAGGGTTCATTGGGGACAGGGGAGCTGGGAGGGAGGGGAAAAAATGAGCTGATACCAAGGGCCCAAGCAGAAAGCAAATGTTTTAAGAATGATGATGGCAACAAATGTGCGAATGTGCTTGACACAGTGGATGTATGTATGGATTGTGATAAGAGTTGTACAAGCCCCAATAAAATGATTTTTTAAAAAAAATCCAGGTACAGAGAAATTAAGCCATAATTAAGTCATGAATAACAGGTAAGAGAAAGCATTTCATACATAAATAATACAAGTCATAAAATTACTAAAATTGTATAGAGACTGACATACTCAGTAAAAATATAAATTAACTCAATGAATGTACAAATGTGCTTTACACAATTGATGTATGTATGGATTGTGATAAGATTCGTATGAGGCCCTAATAAAACAATTAAAAAAAACCTTTATCAAAAAAAATATATATAAATTAACTAATAGAAAAATGAGCAAAGAAATTGCATAATTAAGATATTAAGTAAATGGCCAATAAGTATAATAGAAGTTTTGATTGCTAGCCAGAAAGCAGGCTGTTTGAAACCACTAAGCATCTCATGGGTCTTCTTAAAACCCCAAAGAGCAGTTGTACAGGAGGGTTCAAAAACCTGTGGGAAATGGCATGTAAAGATAATGATCTTTCCCACAAACTTTATGAAGCCCACCTGTTCTCTGTCCTGTAGCGTCACTGTGCGTCGTAATTGATTAAATGGCAGTGGGCTTATCAACATTACACTTAGTCTTTGAGCCAGGTATTCTACTTAATAATCTAGAGGGTGTTTACACGTACGTTAAAATTCAGCTTTTTCTTAGTTTCCTTAGTGAAAGACTGTACAATCAAATGCCCATAATGAGAGGTGATTCTACCCCACTGTAGAAAGTCATGCCACATTACAAAGACGCAGCTGAGTTTCAGTATGTATTTTTGTGTAATAGATGAATATCTGAAGACACTCCTATAGCCACTGCCTTAAAGGAATATCACACCATTCCTTCTTGGGCGAGGGAGGTAATATAGGAAGGCATGCTGTGAGGAGATTTAATATTTTTATATTGTATGTTTCTGTAAAGTTTTTTAATTTTATG